GCATGTCTAATTTTCGTCATCGTTTCATTCGATGTGCCTTTCTTGTTAAATGCAAATTCACAGAAGAACAGATCAGCGGATTGTTGCAGGATCATACACGTTTGCGAGTCCTGTTGCTTTTCGTGCCTGGTCAACTGTGTTGAGAGGAAGGCACCAGTTATCTCACTTGCGTGTGCGTGTGTGTGTGCGTGTGTGTGTGCGTGTGCGCGCGTGTGTGTGTGCGCGCGCGCGTTCAAGAGGGGAAGGCGCTCTCGCCTCCCGCGCTTCAGCTCAGTCTGCTCTGCATTCTCCGAGCGGGCTGCAGTGGATGCAGTCGAGCTGACGGGACTACACACGCAAGAAGAGACGCACACAAATAACTACTTAAGATGTAAAAGGAGGTTTGGAGTGTCCGTCATTGTGGAGTGAGGGGGTGGGGAAAGGCTAAATGTCTTTTTGGATGTGTCTTTTATTGCGCCTCAGTGGGATGCGGGATGCGCAGCGTGAGCAGTGCGCGTGTTCAAATGAGTCCAAGTGGTGATGTGATTTTACTGCGATGGTGAGCAAACACTCAACTCTTCATCTGCTTTCTACCGACTGCACCTCTTCGGGGATGATGCGCACGGACTCTGAATATTTGGATTTTCACTTTTGAATGGGAATGAAGAACATGTGCACAACACTTGGGCTTATTTGATGTGCTCATCTCTCAAGGAAGGAACAATTGTCTTTTTTTGGGGGGGAGAAAAAAAAACGAGGAGAAAGGAAGCAGGTGAGATACTTTTTTTTTTTTTGCACTGCAGTATGTTGATTTTAAAATTCAAGCAAATTCGCTCCACTTTAGCTGCCGTTTCACCCCTTAAACATGAGTCATTCATCTCAGTCCTACTTGCTTTTTCCTAATTATCCATCCCTCTCACTCCCATCTATTGGTTCCCCCTTGTGAATCAATCTAATTTTCCTCCAGCTAGCTCGGCGGTTGCCAACATAGGGCTCATGGGCCCATGAATGGCTCGCAAGAGCATTTAATGCGGCTCATCTTTCAAGTCTGACATGCATTTCAAAGTGGCGCTCAGCTAGGAATAGGAATTGGGACAAATTCAGCTTTCCGATTCCTTATCTATTCTTTGATCGATTCTCATTGGGTGACGGAATGAAATAATGCAGTTGCTCTCAAACCTCCTACACCGAGTACCACCTACAAAAAATCGTGCTTCAAGGACCAGCATAACTACCAGCATTAAAATAGAGAAGCGTAGTAGGTCTAAGTGTTCATCAAAATATTACAAGGCACCGGAATATTAACGCAGTGCCTAAATACAGCAAAATTGTACTAAAAAATAAAATCGAAAAGAACTCTCCTTGGGTGATTCTTTCAAGTGCCACTAGAATGAGCCAGAGTACCACTAGTGGTGCGCATACCATGCTGGTCAAGTGGTTGGGCTGCCCGAATCACAGTTTTGTGGTTCTGGGATCTGCATGATCGCTCCTATGCTTGCATGGGTTTCCTCTATATTCTCTGGCTTCCTCCCACGTTCACATGCATGCAAGATTCATTGAAGACTCTAAAATGTCTGTAGCTATGAGTCATTTTCCATTTGGTGCCTTATGATTGACTGGCAATCAGTCTAGGCTGTACTCCGCTTCTCGCCCAGAGTCAGCTGGGATAAGCCCCGGCTCACCTGCAACCCTAATGAGGATAAGCGCCATTGAAAATGGATGGATAAATGGATTTTCATGGAATCAATCAAAATAATCTCGAAATGGATAGCTTGGATGGATTCCCCCAGCCCTGTTTTTAAAGCAACAATATGTGATTTTTATGGCCAAACAAACCCGTATGTGATGTGAATGCTTTCACGTGAGGTGTGCAATGCTCACGTTGCCCTCTCTAGATATTGGCTGTGAGATGCATCAAGACAGAACGTATCTGTTTATCACACGATTTCTTTAAAAAAAAAAAAAACAGCAAAACGCGAATGCTGCCTAATTAGGACCCAAGGCAGTTGGATGACTAAAAAAAACAAGAACATTGGAGGGATCATTTCACAGTCTTCTTAAAAAAGAAAAAAAAAGGGTCTTTAATGACTGAATAAAGTTCATTTTGCCTCTTACTTGTGTCTGTATTGGCTGAGTTGCTTTTGAGGCAAGCTCGAGCATTTTGTGCGTTGATTCCAACATGAATAAATGCCGTGAGCAATCTGGCTGGGGCTCATCAGTCAGATAGTCATTCAACAGAATCAATTTGCAGCGTAGTAAGTTAATCTGTTGGCAGTTTAAGTTGAGGCAATGTGCCGCAGCCTCAGAGGATCCACTTCCATTATGGCAGTGAAGGGTTCGCTGCACATCTATGACAAAAGTGTCCCTTAAATAGTGTTCAAAATGATACGAGTTTACCAGTGTTTCATTTACTGGATAATAAGCTATTCACAATCAATTTTTTTGAATGGGGGCGGCAAAAAAAAAAAAGCTCGAAGTGATCACCATGACAACCCTCCTCGGTTCATATCATTTTTTTCACTCGTTTTGTCCCAAATTGGGATCACGCCTTCGTGTTCTAATTTTGCACAGACTCATTTTCTTCTTTTATGTATGAGCTCAATGCTAGCCGAATAGCGTAGTTACCTGAGTCATATTTCAGTGTTGAAGAAAACAAAGGGAAAACACAAGTTTGTCTGAATTTTGCATTGATTTGGTCACAATTAAGTTAAAAGTGACTAAGGCAATTATACCATTAGGTAATGACACCCAGCGCGTGGAGGCACTTTTAATCGTTAGCGGGAATTTAAGTTGACGTGGTTCAGACGCCAGTGCAGTCAATTTGGTCAAAATGTGCGATGATTCTTCCGCACTCTGCGTGAACCCTTTTGGCTTCATCATCATGAGGCTGTGATTGATTTATTTGAAGCGTGTGATGAGGAAGTGGGGCGGCTACGAAGGCAAATGCGCTGTGCTATATCCGGGCTGGTGACCATGTAATTAAAGCTGACGATTTTTTTTTTTAAAATGTAAGATGCACACATGATGAGGAAAAATGTCAACACTATATTCAATGTGATGTATATTAAAGGCCACTTAAAGAGGCAATTTTGTGAGACTTGACATTGAACCATGTCATGATTGATTCTGTGACGTTGTGAAATTATTCTGAGCTCTTTCTTTATGGTAGAATGATGATATATTGTTGCTTCGATCACATGTGGAACACCTGTTTTCTAATATGCGTATTAAGTCAAATTATTATTCCATCATTTGGCTGATTAACTTTTAGAATTGGATGGCGGGCTCCTTCGAATGCTCTTGCGGACAAGACTTCAATATGTCACATTATGTAAATGTTTGTGTTTGATTATGAGGTCATTAAGCTCTTGCCTGATCATATTTTGCATGTACTTTACAAGGTCAGCAATTTGTTTGGTACATTTTTCAGCGGTGGCCACATGCATTGATGATCAATATTCATGTAGCATCACCACATGGGCTGTGATCTTTTAAGGGACATTTTGCTGATATTCCAATTTGCTCTCTTATTTTCGTGTCGGAACACTTATTGCTGCGGCCCACAGTTTCTCGTCGAGTGCTTCAAATTATTCTCCCATGCTACTTTTTCTTCAGCTTTTTCCATTTGCACTCAGTCAGCGATGGAGGAAACCGCATACAGAGAATTTAAATGTTTGGCAGAACTCTGCACTAAACGTTGAGTTTTTTTTTTCTCCCCTTCAATTTAACCCTTTCATGCAACCTGTAACCTGATAACATGAGAAGCTGTCCACTCTATATAGTAACCGCTGTCCCTGAATGGGTTAAACACGAAGAACAGTAAAGAGGCACAAATCAAGGCTTATTGATGGGGCCTGTCTCAATACGCCGCCATTCAATGCCTTTGCGAATCTTCCATTGATGGCTTTGTTCACTCAGTTAACTCATCAAATTCTACTTAGCGATCACCGGGAGCTCTTTGTATATTAATTAGCCCATAACATGGTTGCCATTTTTATTCAATAGTCCCATGTTTATTCCTTTTATTTTGTATTACTTCGTGTGATTGTTGCTTTCCGCTGAACATGAATTTCCCCTGGTGATCAATTATCACGATCTTATCTTTGTTTGGTATGATCAAGGGGCACCACGGTGGACTAGTGATGAACACATCTGCCGCACAGTGATGAGTTTCGAGGTTCCGCTCTCAGCTCTGTTGTGCGTAGAGTTTATATTGACCTTGGTTTCTAAATGTAGCAAAAGATCAACATGTCAGAATTCAGGTCAACATGTCAGATTTCAGTGGCCTTTTATTTTGAAATGGGACATCAGATCCATATGAGGCCAGTCTGGTTGGATACCTGGGGTGCTCTAGTGTCCCACAGACCTGATCTGAATGAGGGATAACTAAAATTCATTTTTAAAATATTTTTTTCGGTCAACATGTCAGAATTCAGGTCCAAATGTCAGATTTCAGAGGCCTTTTATTTTAAAATGTGACATCAGATCTGAGCAAGGGTACTCTGTTTGTGTACCTGGGGTGCTCTAGTGTACTTTTGAGCTGGTCTGGTTGAGGGATAACTAAAATTCATTTTTAAAAGTTTTTTTTTTTTTTTTTTAAATGGGCCACATGTCAGAATTCAGGTCCAAATGTCAGATTTCAGAGGCATTTTATTTTGAAACGGAACATCAGATCTGAATGCCAGTACTGTGGTTGGATACCTGGGCTGCCCTAGTGTATGTAAACCTTGTTTGGTTGCAGGATAACTAAGATTCATTTTAAAAGTTTTTTTTTTTTTTTTTAAATATCAGGTGAAATTGATGCAATTGACTATTTTCTATTTCAACTTAAGAATGCTTCTTGGCACTTTTCTGAGAGTTTTTATTCTCCCTGGTTGAATTTATAGTTGTTCGACAGCCAAGAAATGGCTTTACAACGTTTTTTTTTTTAAAATCCAAACCACTGACGTGCAGGCATTAGTTGCTCTGCTTTTATTTTGAAGGTGGCCTACCGTAATGCACAGTACCTGTATTGACAATCGCAGTGGCGGCTCACTTGACTTCAATTTTGCGAGTGGAAGCTGGTTTTTGACCGCAGTGTTTGACTGGTGAGCCATTTAATCTGGACGCCAGGTGAATTGCCATACCGCAGCCTCCACATCACGCTAAAAGAATGAATTCACTGTCATCACAGTAAAATATCCGATTCACGGCAGGCCAAGAATTCCTCGCTCCGGCGATTGACCAAGGAGAGTTCACGGCAAAATAATGCAATCAAGAAAGTTGCCAGTCACGTTAAAATAAATCCATATTGATAAGCGGTTCAGAAAATGGATGGATGGACGGATAGATGATTGGAAGAACACCCTGGTTTCTGCCGTTCGACATAGTATGGCGAGGGATCCTGGAGGTTAAAGTTGATTTGCTGCGTTTCCGTGAGTGCATAAACAGGTAAGGCGTTTGGACAACGTGTGGTGCAGATAGAGCACACTGAAAGTGCCCTCCATTTACAATTTGCTATTGTGATGAAATTGCGTGTTTCATTGTTTGGAATATGGCGTGGTTTTCGGTAAAAGTACAAATAAAAGGTAAATGAACAGCGATCGTAGTCGTTGGCACCCTACACGCTGGTGTAACGAGGCGACGGTAAAAGTGTCAAAATTTGAATACTACCTAACTCCACCGAGTACCGATACCTCTCGAACTTTTGAGTCATAAGATTTAATTTAACACAATAAAAGATGTGAACAAGACCTTTAATGTGAACAATGTTCTTTCCATCTGATGCAGATGATGATTCGCCAATGTGTCACGTTGCCGCTGTATAGCTCCTATATATTTTTTGCCTCAAGTGATCTTGGTTGCCTGTTGTAGCTATTTGTTTTATTTATTTTGTTTTTATTTCGCATATTTATATATTTATGCTTGATGCAATTTTATGTCAATTTTAGCTGTGTGTGTTCAATGCACGACGTGGTTGCACTGTGGTTGAGAGAGGAAAGTAATTTCATCTGTGCTGTATGTTACACATAGAGCATATTTGACAATAAAAGCTGACTTGACTTGACTGAAGGAATGGTGGTTCGTATCGGCAACCTTCACGAGTTTGACAATAAAAGCTGACTTGACTTGACTTGACTTAAGGAATGGTGGTTGGTATCGGCAACCTTCACGATTATTGATACACGCCACCAGAGTATCGTCCCGATTCAGATACTTTACTCACCCATCCCAACTCCCCGAGAATCACAGCTCTAAATCTTTTTCTTTTTTTTTGGGGGGGGGGTGTGTCTATTGACTGGCAACTATCTCAGGGTGTACTCTATCTTTCACCCAAAATTAGCTTTGATTGACTTCAGCTCATCCGTGATCCAAATCAAGACAAGTGCTGTTGAAATTGTTTGGAAATATTCAAAACCATCGGAAACTTTTCCTTGCAGGCCCCCACAGGGTCCAGCAGGTGGTGCTACTGTGCTCCTTGCCAAGTATGAAGACCGATGCATGTTGGTTTAAAAATAACTTTTTATTTTTTATTTTTATATTTTTAAATTAGCATTATAATTTCTCACGAGGAGATTTTTAGGTAGAAGTTCAACAAAAAGATATCTCCATTCCAGATTTACATGAAAGTTTGTGGATATGTAGCTAACCCCCAGTTTTCAGAGTAGTTTACCTAATTTTATTTTTCAACTGTATGTGTGATTGAGATATGCACCTTTTATTAGCTAACGGCACCTTGTGTACTTTGCGTAACAACAAACGGCTAAAAAAATGTGACATAACCAGCACAACAAGCAAATATTTCAGTCCATCATTGCTGTGTGTAGGGAATTCTGTCCATCATTGCTGTGTGTAAGGAACTAATGGTAATATAAAGACTTGCAAAAGATCACACAGGTTTGTTGTTGGTATATGTGCAATTTATTGATGAAAATGAGAAAAAAAAACGAATTTAAGAGAACACATTTCATATTAAAACAACACACATCTTGAGCCCTACAGTGGTTGGTAGCGTACATGAATCAAATGACGACCACACACACACACACGTTCTCAGGTGTCGTATTAGATGATGCTTGTACAGATTTATGGCATTTATAGCACAACTGCTAGTACATTATCCAATTTCACTCGCAGTAAATTCAATTTTGGGGTTCCCCTGAGTGGAGTCTTACGATACTGCTTGTCCCCATGTGGCTGTTTTTACTTGTGTGCTTGCTTGTGGTATTTTGACAAAGAAACTGCAGGTGGCAGGACTGTTACAGTCGCTGTAGGTTCAGTAGGTTACGAAGAAATGTTATTGGCGATGGGAGAAAATATCTCCCTCGTTATCTATTCAGATAATCATGTCTGAGCTACATTGACTAAATATGACTGATGAATAAAAGGTCAAGGTAATGTGGCAAATAAGATGGTTGATGAGAGATTTGTGATTCTCATCGAAGCTTAATTGGATGTGTGTGCGCTTTGGGTCGCTAAGTTGGACCATGATTCAGCAGCTCCATCAAGTCAATGCTTTGTGAGTAAGTGAAACGTCGTCAGCACAAGATGGGGTGCAACATTTGGAAACAATTGTTCAAAACTAGCTCCTAGGTCAAACGTCATAAAATACTAGTTCTTACTAGTTTTCTTTCTTACTAGATTTATGTTTTCACGTTCTTAAAAGTCATCCAATATGTTAACCACTGTTACTATGATGAAGGAAAAACAACAAAACATTCAATTATAGTTGGACAAACATTTTGAAAAGGTGAGTTGCGCCTGAAGGTTATTTTAGTTAATGAAATGAAAAGTTCCAGGGTAACTCTAACCAAGTTCCACACTTCAGTCTCCACGCCGTTGTGTTTGGTGTCCCTAAAAGAGTTGTTTGGTACTCTTGGCAACTTTTGCTGCTGCTGCAAAAAAAAAATGGCTGCTGTTCTAAAGTAAATCAAGCCATAGTGGTTCATACAAGCCTTGCCTCGGAGGGTTTGTGTGACATTTACTTTGTGAGGTCTCTACTGACTGGCTTCAGGTTAATTAGCACCACACACACTCTGCATTCAACCAAGCAACTGAAGTCTGTGAGCGCGACAAACAGCTCTGTTGCATCTGTCCTGTTATATCCAATCAACCTGTTCTGCTGTTTGTTGAATATGTTTTGTTTGTCTCTTTGTTCATGGCCGTGACACATTGTTGTCTGTTCGTTCATTTATTGTGTATTGATCAAGCGGCACTGCTGCATACAGACCTGTATGGAGCTTTGCATGCCTCTCCACTCAATAATAGAGCCGCGAGTAAGCAGACCAATATATTTTAACCTCCTCGAGGAATGAGATTGACAGTCAGTTTGCTCTAATAATTGTTCAACATGTAAGTGCTCAATATATAATCGGAGCTGCACTGAAGGCACGTGTAAAGGTGAGGAATGAACCAGAGGCAGGCCGGCATGGAATAACCACAGCCAGATTAAAACGAACAAACACAAAAAAAAAAAAAAAAACCCAACCCAACAAAAAAAAAAAAAAACCTTTGGATGACTTGAAGAGGATCCAAGCCAGCCTGTTCACTCAGCCCCAAGAAAAGGCTTTACATGCAGCTAATACTTATCATGTCTAGTGTGCTGATGCAAGTGGAGTCATCCAGTCCAAGGTTATGCCAACAATGAGACTCGCCTGATAAAACCCGGCATCCTAATGGTACTCAGGTATGCCTCTCCATTTCCCGTTCATACACAGTATGAATGACAGTGAGTCAGAAATCATTCAAGGTTGAATATTCGGTACTTGCTTTTAGGGCAGCTGAAGATGCAAAGTAGAAAAAAAGCCAACTGTACCTGCATATATTGCATATATCATACCTGAAGGAAGTTCTTTTATCTCCTTTCAAAAGTGAGTGTTAAAGGCGAGGCAGGCAATCTTAGACGTTGCTTATAATTCACAATCGCAAATCCGTAGATGTACGGTCAGCACCAAGTTTTGCCAAACCACAGACTCCGTGACATGAAACAGAACGATTGCTAATTAGCAAGCGACCTGAAGCTCGCGTTGTGGAGAAGCAACTGATTGTTGAGCTGAGTCTAAGGTGCCCCCGCAAGTAGTCCACCGCAATAGAAATGGGAGAAGAGGTTTCAAATTTAATATACTGCAGTTATGAGATAACTGTTAACATAGATTCTTTATCTTTAGTAAAAAAACACCTTAAAATGGGGTTTTAATTGCCAATAGATGTTTCCTAAGTAATGCTTTGATATTAGACAGGGCTTTGGCCTTAGCATAAAAGAGAGCGAATCGACGAGATTTTCAGTGAACACAAGATTGGCTCCTCCCAAAATGTGCAAATAGTTGAATGTTTGAGAAACACATCCCAATTAAAGTGGTGCCATGAGGTACAAGTGATTTGACTTGATAGGTCAAGAAACTCAACCCAACTCACAAAAAGCCGTTTGGCAGATGGTGAACTGTTCTTCAAATAGAGGCTTCAAGCTGTTTATTGGCACTCACACTTGACGTTTACAATCTAACTAAACAAAAAAGACAAAAACAAAGTGTAGTTCAAACATTTATATTTAAAACAACCACATGGCTTTGCCTCACTCTTAATTCGAGCAAACTATGCAAAACACCATAAATGGCTGACAAGTTGCATCCGTGATGCAGTCTTAAAACCAATCAAGCAACAGATATTTGAACAGAGACGGTGGGGCAACTTATACTCACAAAATAACCTCCTCATAGAATCTTTTCGAGAGATTACGAATAATTCTACAGTTTACCTATTCAGTTGTGAAACATGTTTCTGTATTACCGTAGACTGCCCCAAGGTGGCATCATTGTCCACTGACCACGTTGTGTTTTATTGGTCTGAACTCTCCATTCATTTCGCGGAATATCTTTGCTTCAGCTGCTCACTGGAATTTCAAATGTGACTGCCTACAGCAGATATGTCCAAACTATGGCCCGGGGCCCACTTGCGGCCAGCCCACCGGTTTTTAACAGCCCGCGGCATATCGTAAAAACATTTGACATGGCCTGCAATTTTATTTAAAACAGCTAAAATAGTGACAGAATTTCTTTGGTGAATAAAGATAACAAAATAAAACATTTGACATGGCCTGCAATTTTATTTAAAACAACTAAAATAGTGACAGAATTTCTGTGGTGAATAAAGATAAAATGTTTGGACATCCCTGGCCCACAGCATGAGCTCTCCACAAGCCTGTTAGACTAAGCGACTCTTCATTCATCAGTGAAGAGAGTGATGGCAGGTAGGCAAAGAGATAATCGCAGTGTAGTCTTTTTTTTTTTTTTTTTCGTGGAGGTGGGAGGGAGGGACGAGAGTTTGACAAGTCTGTCTAATTTTTTGCATTACTGTTGCACAATATCACCGGGATTGGTTTGCAGCCCTGCTTTTGAAAACCCCATGTCTCCTTTACACGTGCTTCCTTTGAGCCATTTCTTTGTCATGACGGA